AAAAAAAAAAAAAAAATCGGCGGGACTACGGCGAGAGGACGCCGGCCTGGGGCGTCAGGGGCTTGGTGGAGTTCAAGCGCCGTGGAAGATGTGTGATGGACGAGTGAAGGCATGGCTGAAATCGAATTTGGAGTTGCAGCCTGGTATCGGTCAATTTTCTATCTTTACCGTTTTGCTGACATAATTTTGTTCAGTTCCTCGTTTTTCTTGGGCACATTTTTGTTATAAACATGGTTGAACCTGTGTTGTGCAGGCGGACGTTGAGACTGATGTTGCCGGACAGCCGGTAAAGAAGAGAACGTTCAAGAAGTTCAGCTACAGAGGCACTGATCTCGATGCGCTCCTCGACATATCTACCGAAGAACTTGTCAAGCTCTTTCCTGCTCGTCCCCGCAGAAGGTTTGATCCAATTTGTAGTGTATTGTTGCACCTGATTAACTTCAAGTCTTCAATATAAATTTGTGTACACATATTTCAAGGTGAAAATTTGAATCTATTTGATGGGATGTTCAATTATTGTTGTTTATAACACTTTCAATCTGTGGGATACCTTGTTGAAGTTATGATGTGTGGCTTTTTGTAGCTCTTTAGCTGTTTGAATGATTTAGTGTGCACTAATTTTATTTACTTGTGCTTCTACTGGTTACAAGCTTTTGCCATTGTGGCTGGTATACATTTTCAGGGTTCGTGGCTTGCAGGGACCTGGCTTTCGAAAATTTGATAAATATTAGGAACTGATTAGCAAATTCAGTAACTTTAGGCCGAGTGAAGATGCGGCTTAAATTCCCTCAGTTAAATTTTCATTCTGGTTGTCTAGGATTTCTTGGATTTGTTGTTTCCATAGGTTTTCTTTGAGTCCATTCAAGTCACTATGTTTGACTATTTCTTCAACATAGGTTATGTCTGACTATTCTTCAACATTATAGGTTGGCAGCTGTTTGTTTTAAGGGAAAAGGGCATGAGATTCCACAGGACATGGATCCTCAGATTGCAGCTATTATTGTATATTGCTGGGCCAAATGAGTTATATATCTACTTCTAATTGATGTTTGCAATGTGTAGAATTGTTTTTAGTTGATCACCTTGAACTTGTTTATTTGTTCATATTTGGGAAAAAACTTTCCTATATGTTCATATTTATTTGTTCACAATTTTTCCTATCTGTTCTTTCTCCACTTCTGATTTCATTTCTTTTTATTTTGTTTTTTATTTAGTTATATTTATTGCTCTGTAGAATTAGGGTGAATATGTTGTAGTTGATGTAGTTGATGTGCTTGCGTGAAAAAAAATAAAAAAAATTGAACTAGTGTGTGTCTCTTTGAGTTGTGCGTATGTAGATTTGTAATTTGAACACCTTGTAGAAGATCTTAGGAAACATATGCATTTTTCATCAAATACTTGAAGAAAAATGGCGGTGTTGTCTATGGTAATTGATACTATTTCCTGATTTAGGTCTCTGATTAATTATGCCACTGTGAGTTGTGAATCTACAGGCATAAAGCGCCTTTTGTTTCTGTAATAATATTTATTTAATTTGTAAAAGGAATATGTTTCTTTGTACAATGAACATGTTATGTTATAAAATGAATATCTTTTATTATCAGCTGAATATGTTAAATTATAAGATGGACATGTTTCTTTCTCAAATGAACATGTTTATTAACACGATGAATAAGTTGATTTTATACGTAATATGCTTTGTAACATGATGAATACGTTTCATTGTAAAATGAACATGTCAAATTATAAGATGAAGATGTTATATTATAAGATGAATATGTTTTATTATAAGTTGAATATGTTAAATTGTAAGACTCAAAATATTTGAACTTTGTCATTCAATAATTAACTAAAAAATATCATGATATTTTAATTATAATCACTTTATTTGAATCACTGATTTTCAAGATGACCGCTAAATAAATAGTGAGAATTAAAATTTTAATGCATTAAATATTTTATTTATTTATAATATCTTAAGATTCTTAAATGATTTATGGTTTTTTTAATAAATTGAGAGTTTATTTGTGCATAACTATCCTATCAAATAAGATAACTGTTTCAGTAATATTTATTTAATTTGTAAAATGAATATGTTTCTTTGTAAGATGAACATGTTATGTTATAAGATGAATATGTTCTATTATTAGCTGAATATGTTATATTATAAGATGAACATGTTTCTTTCTCAGATGAACATGTTTATTAACACGATGAATAAGTTGATTTTGTACGTAATATGTTTTTAACATGATGAATATGTTTCATTGTAAAATGAACATGTCAAATTATAAGATAAAAATATTATGTTATAAAATGAATATGTTTTATTATCAGTTGAATATGTTAAATTATAAGACTTAAAATATTTGAACTTTGTCATTCAATAATTAACTAAAAAATATCATGATATATTAATTATTATCACTTTATTTGAGTCACTGATTTTCAAGATGACCTTTAAATAAATAGTGAGAATTAAAATTTTAATATATTAAATATTTTAGTTATTGATAATATGTTAAGATTCTTAAATGATTTATGGTTTTCTTAATAAATTGAGTATTTATTTGCGCATAACTCTCTTATCAAATAAGATAACTGTTTCAGTAATATTTATTTAATTTGTAAAATGAATATGTTTCTTTGTAAGATGAACATGTTATGTTATAAGATGAATATGTTCTATTATCAGCTGAATATGTTAAATTATAATATGAACATGTTTATTAACACGATGAATAAGTTGATTTTGTACGTAATATGTTTTTAACATGATGAATATGTTTCATTGTAAAATGAACATGTCAAATTATAAGATAAAAATATTATGTTATAAAATGAATATGTTTTATTATCAGTTGAATATGTTAAATTATAAGACTTAAAATATTTGAACTTTGTCATTCAATAATTAACTAAAAAATATCATGATATTTTAATTATTATCACTTTATTTGAGTCACTGATTTTCAAGATGGCCGCTAAATAAATAGTGAGAATTAAAATTTTAATGTATTAAATATTTTATTTATTGATAATATGTTAAGATTCTTAAATGATTTATGGTTTTCTTAATAAATTGAAAGTTTATTTGCGCATAACTATCCTATCAAATAAGATAATTGTTTCAGTAATATTTATTTAATTTGTAAAATGAATATGTTTCTTTGTAAGATGAACATGTCATGTTATAAGATGAATATATTATATTATTAGCTGAATATGTTATATTATAAGATGAACATGTTTCTTTCTCAGATGAACATGTTTATTAACACGATGAATAAGTTGATTTTGTATGTAATATGTTTTTTAACATGATGAATACGTTTTATTATAAAATGGACATGTCAAATTATAAGATGAAGATGTTACGTTATAAGATGAATATGTTTTATTATCATTTGAATATGTTAAATTATAAGACTTAAAATATTTGAACTTTGTCGTTCAATAATTAACTAAAAAATATCATGATATTTTAATTATTATCACTTTATTTGAGTCACTGATTTTCAAGATGACCTCTAAATAAATAGTGAGAATTAAAATTTTAATGTATTAAATATTTTAGTTATTGATAATATGTTAAGATTCTTAAATAATTTATGGTTTTCTTAATAAATTGAGTATTTATTTGCGCATAACTCTCTTATCAAATAAGATAACTGTTTCAGTAATATTTATTTAATTTGTAAAATGAATATGTTTCTTTGTAAGATGAACATGTTATGCTATAAGATGAATATGTTCTATTATCAGCCGAATATGTTAAATTATAATATGAACATGTTTCTTTCTCAGATGAACATGTTTATTAACACGATGAATAAGTTGATTTTGTACGTAATATGTTTTTAACATGATGAATATGTTTCATTGTAAAATGAACATGTCAAATTATAAGATAAAAATATTATGTTATAAAATGAATATGTTTTATTATCAGTTGAATATGTTAAACTATAAGACTTAAAATCAATGTTTTAAAAACCGTACCAGTCGTCATATCGGTGTAGCGACGGGTATGTGATATTACCGGTACGACCAGTATTATCGTCTATTTTACCGGTTTTAATAATTTTTAAATTAATTTGTTGTTATAATATAAATAACGTACAAAATGAACTTTAATTAATACTAAAATTACTTAACATCTAATAACAATATAAATATATTAAAATTTAGTGTAGAAATTTCAATTTACATAAATAAAATAATAAAAATATATTAAAAATATTTTTTTTAAAAAAAAAATGGGAAAACCGGTATTTTTGACCGGTATTTTGGCCGGTATTTGGCGGTAAAACCGGTATTTTCCGGTATAAAACCGGTATTTTGATCAAAATGGTATTTTGGGTGTAACCGTACCGATCGGACTACCGGTATCCGGTATTACCGGTAATACCGGTCGGTACGGTACGGTATTTAAAACATGGCTTAAAATATTTGAACTTTGTCATTCAATAATTAACTAAAAAATATCATGATATTTTAATTATTATCACTTTATTTGAGTCACTGATTTTCAAGATGGCCGCTCACTATTAAAATTTTAATGTATTAAATATTTTATTTATTGATAATATCTTAAGATTCTTAAATGATTTATGGATTTCTTAAAAAATTGAGAGTTTATTTGCGCATAACTATCCTACCAAATAAGATAACTGTTTCAGTAATATTTATTTGACTTCAATTGGACTATTTCGAGTTTGATTATAATATAATTGGCCAATATTGTACTAAATTGGACTTCAATTGTACTAATTCGAGTTCGGTTATTATATAATTGGCCGATATTGTACTAATTGGACTTCAATTGGACTAATACGAGTTCGATTATACTATAATTGACCGAGATTGTACTAATTTGAATTGAATTGGACTAATTCGAGTTCGATTATAATATAATTGATCGAGATTGCACTAATTTGACTTCAATTGGACTAATACTCGATTACACTATAGTTGGCCGATATTGTACTAATTTGATTTGAATTGGACTAATTCGAGATCAATTATAATATAATTGACCGAGATTGTACTAATTTGACTTCAATTGGACCAATTCGAGTTCAATTATAATATAATTAACCGAGATTGTACCAATTTGATTTCAATTGGACTAATATGAGTTTGATTACACTACAATTGACCGAGATTGTACTAATTTGATTTCAGTTTGACTAATTCGAGTTTGATTATAATATAATTGACTGAGATTGTATTAATTTGACTTCAATTGGACTAATTCGAGTTCAATTATAATATAATTGGCCGATATTGTACTAATTGGACTTCAATTGGACTAATTCGAGTTCGATTATAATATAATTGACCGATATTGTACTAATTTGACTTCAATTGGACTAATACGAGTTTGATTACACTATAATTGACCGAGATTGTACTAATTTAACTTCAATTTGACTAATTCGAGTTCGATTATAATATAATTGGTCGATATTGTACTAATTGGACTTTAATGGTACTAAAACGAGTTCAATTAAAATATAATTAAACAAGATTGTACTAATTGGACTTTAATTGCACTAATACGAGTTCGATTACACTATAATTGATCGAGATTGTAGCAATTGGATTTCAATTGGACTAATTCAAGTTCGATTATTATATAATTGTCCGATATACTTCAATTGAACTTCAAATGGATTAATTCGAGTTCGATTACACTATAATTTTATCGATATTGTACTAATTTGACTTCAATTGGAATAATTCAAGTTCGATTATACTATAATTGACCGAGATTGTACTAATTTAACTTCAAGTGGACTAATTTGAGTTCGATTATAATATAATTGACCTAGATTGTACTAATTTGGCTTCAATTGGACTAATTCGATTCGATTACACTATAATTGACCGAGATTGTACTAATTTGACTTCAATTGAACTAATTCGAGCTCGATTATAATATAATTGGTCGATATTGTACTAATTGGGCTTCAATTGGACAAATTCGAGTTCGATAACCCTATAATTTACCGATATTGTACTAATTTGACTTCAATCGGAATAATTTAAGTTCGATTATACTATAATTGATCGAGATTGTACTAATTTGACTTCAATTGGACTAATTCGAGTTCGATTATAATATAATTGACCTAGATTGTACTAATTTGACTTCAATTGGACTAGTTCGAGTTCGATTATAATATAATTGGCTGAGATTGTACTAATTTGACTTCAATTGGACTAATACAAATTTGATTACACTATAATTGACCGAGTTTGTACTAATTTGACTTCAATTAGAATAATTCAAGTTCGATTACACTATAATTGACCGAGATTGTACTAATTTGACTTCAGTTAGACTAATTCGAGTTCGATTATAATATAATTGGCCGAGATTGTACTAATTTGACTGCAATTGAACTAATTCGAGCTCTATTATAATATAATTGGCTGATATTGTACTAATTA